CTGTTGTAAGAACTACTCTGATGAATGGAAAGGCGTTGATTTTCTTATATTACTGCATGTCTGAATGATGGGTATTATGTATATTTTTGAGGGCGTTACAATAGGTGCCTGCAGAGGGACGAAGAGGTAAGAGATATGGCAAACAAATTGGCGGCCCTACAGTCGGTCGTCAACTTCATGATGCAAAATAATGTTATGCAGCCACCATACCCGCTGCAAGATACACCAATGCCAGCGATTAATGCCCAGAAGGGAGAAAGAAAAGGAGTCAAAATTCCATCTCCAGATGAACTTAAAGGAAAAGTGTATTGTAAATGGCATAATTCTTGGTCTCACTCAACTAAAAACTACATTGTTTTTCGAGATAGGATCCAAGAGTAGATTCAAAAGCGGAGTTTAAAATTCCCAACTAAAGCAGAAAAGGCCATGGGGATTGATACAAATCCATTCCCAGAAATTGGAGAGGTGGCAGCCAATGTTATTATGCCAGACTTCCAGAACTTGTCCTTAAAAGAATTGGAAGAAGTCAATGTGCATATGCATGTTTCCAGCCAGACAACTGTCAAGAAAGACACTAAAAATCTACCAGCTATTGGACAAGGTTTCTCAGACCAGAGGGAAGACTCTGATGAAGAAGCACTGGATGACGATTCTTTAGAAGCAACTGTCATGCAAAGAATGTGTCCCAGATGCAAGCTGAGTTGCAAGTGGTTGAAATGACTTCCAATTGATGAGAAGCAATATTACAAGGATGTGCAGAGGCGTCTTAAACCAACCAGTGCTTATAACAAAAGGCCATATCCAACTAGCATTAGGCAGTAGCCATTAATGACTGAGCCAACAGCCGCTAGAATGCATTCTAAAGGCAAGAGGCCTTTATATGAGTCCAGACCACCTAATTATTACAGAATAGAGAGTGGTCATCCTGAAAGGAGACCGGAGAAGGGTTCAGTTTATGGGATCAAAGCTAGAGATTGGCCTCCTAGACCAGCCTCACGCAGGACAAAAAGTGGCCACCTTCATCAAAGGCTTGAGTTAGGCCCAAAACAGGGAGTCAGGGCCAAGCAGTGGTCTTCACAGCCTGCTTCGAAGATGGCTTTGAAAGAAAAAAGAAATAGTTCAACAGTTGGGTTAGTAGGTTCGTAGGTACCTGGAGTTCCAGATTGGTTTGTCATGCAGAACAAACCCAGGGAGATGTCTACCCAAAGAAATGTTGTTGGAAACCAAGGTAGGATGGTCAAACCTCCTTTGGTGGCTCCAAACATTTGGGTATTGCTTAAGCACCCGAAAACAAAAGAACCAAATATGGTCCCGGTGATTTCTAAGTTCCAAAGAAGGAAGATCAAACGAAGGTACACTTAGTACCAGAAGGATCGGAAAGAAGGTGGAGAAAGTTCTTCATTAGTTCAGCTAAAGAGCCAGGCAGAAGGAGAAGAAGATTCAAAGTTAGACCATAATCTAAAATCGACTCTTCCAGACAAAAAGAGTTGTAGTAGGGAGCAGTGGGCCAAAGTTCATTCCGAGCTAAAGGCCAAGGAAAGATCCAGCTTGGTAGGATTAGAAAAAACTTTGATGGAAAATGATAGTGAGATAGAAGATGAAGTCGTCCCAGGCCAAAGGAAGGGAATGGCTGAGGAAGAAATGTTTGAAGCCTTCATGGTTGAACAGACATTTTTGGTCGAAAAACCAACTGAAACAGACCATTAGAAGGAAGTTACTAATACAGAAGTGCCAGAATGCAGCATGGAGGACGCTTCTAAAGTAATTGAACGAGTTGACCATGAGGGAAAACAGGTACAGCCAGTCGCCCAATTTGGCTCGTTTCCTCCGGTGTCAGTGAATATGGTGCTTATATTACCACAGAAGTTTCAAGCTGAAGATGAAAACCAAGGTCAGGAGATTGACCCAATTTCAGTCTCCAGTGAAGACTCACAAGTAAGTATGGTGCAAGACGAATCCGAAGTAGCCACACCAATGGAAACTGAAGACGAGAGTGAGGAAGAGGTAAGTATTAACCTCTCATACCCTTTTGAGTATCCCATGACGTCCATGACACAGCATGTCAAACCCTTGTATATCAAGGCCTTCTTCGATGGAATATAGATGAATCGGGTGCTGGTGGATAACGGGGCAGCAGTAAACCTGCTTCCAAAATCTTCATTGAAGAAACTAGGAAAGAAGAACCCCAGACTAATCCCAACCAGTACAGCCATTGCTGGTTTCGCTGGAGACAAACAGATGGCCCAAGGTATTTTGCCCATTAACTTGAGTGTGGGAACTAGGAACTACATGACAGCATTCTTCGTTATCGACAGTAATGCTAAGTATAATGCTTTACTTGGAAGAGATTGGATTCACACCAACAAATGTATGCCTTCCTCTTCACATCAGAAAATCATGATGGCCTTGTGCAATGGAGAGACGGAGGAGAACAGTACAGATCCTCAACCCTTCATAGCTTGTGCAGATTTCACAGAGGCCAAATTATATACTGAAGGAGTGGCACCATTTAGTATACTAAGAAAACCTGATGGATCAGCCAAAGTGACGGTTGATGAAGAATTTGCACATCTAAAGCACTTGCTCCAGGAGAGTGCTGATGAAGAGTTTGCCATTAAGGATGATAATGATGCCTGGTTGTAGGCAAAGAGATGAAACCCAAGAAGCCAGGTCTTTGGCTCTAATTAAGTTCTCAGTATTGGATGTAAAATCAATAGTCTATTAGCAGCAACAATGCGATGAGAAGAAGCATAATCAGTAAGGCAAAGCCTCCGATTTTTTGCCATAGTTGAAGGAGAGGTAATACAGTTTCAAGTACGGATACAGCAGTTTTAACTACAGATAGAGCGATAGGGCCAAAGGCGGCCATACAAAGAACACCCACTGTTAAAAAGGGAACTAGTGGTGATGGTCCTCTTCTTCCCATTTGTGTTATACACAACCTCCTGGAGAGTTGAACTAAGGTTTGATATAGAAAAACGGATTGATTAAAACCAGATGCTTTCCCATCTAAAAAAAGATGGTTAATTTGGACACAAGTAATTAGTCGATCTCAAGGCCAACTAAGACTTTGTTTGTTAGAATAATGACATGTGAAAAAGGTCTCAAAGAAAAAATACATATATATGAAGAAAAACTAGAATAATGTCGACGATAGCACCCAATTTGTTTTTGGTGCCTCCAAGATGTTACATTAACAATAATAATAATCATATCTATCTAATTTTTATCACTACACTTGTCTTCTTTTGAGAAAATACTAATAACAGAAAATGTAAATAACATCACATGTCACTTTCAAGAAAGCGAGTTTGCTAGGAGCTTAAATTCATTAAAAATTAAAGGATGTATAGTATACTGCTATGGCACCTTCAAAGAGAAAGGGATTATTTATGTGTAGAAATCAGTATTCAAGAGCTCAAATAGCAAAATCGGAAATTTTGACACTAATATCTTAAAATCCTTGTAACAATCTTAGAACAATTTCAATATACAAGACTCCTGCCACTGTTCGCAGATAGTTAGAGGTACACAATCAAATTCCTGCACACACAGATATTGTTTCTATAATTTCATCCTATGACACTCAAGTTGTTAACAAAACAACCTTAACACTGCCTCAGCTTGCCTTCCCTTGCTGTTTATAAGATTTGTTGAAATTACAAAGTTAACAATAAAACAAATCCACTGCCCTAAAACAGTTTATTAACAAAGAGGATATTTCAAACAGGATCAATAGCATAATCCAAACTAGGTCCTACATGTTTTCAGATATACACACAAAGCAAACAGAAGAAAAAAAAGTTAAATATGAATATTAAGGGCGTGAAACAAATGTTTTATCATCATCTACATGTTACAGTCATGATCTCCATGTACAAAACCATATAAAAAGGTAGGTGGATAAACAAGATGTTCATACCCATTCAAAAGAGGAAGGAAAAGACATAAAACAAGGTAATTGCTGCTATACAAGTCAGCATCATGCTATCTAACACAGTTCACTACTGCATTGCCTAACCTACGACTGCATTGGCTTAACCTGTACTATAGCATCCAGGTACAAATTACAACTGTATATCACAAAAGCAAAGATGACATGGTCCAGCATCCACATTCTCGTCCATAACTGTCTACTCATGGCGTAGCACTGTAGCGCAGATGTTGCTCATAGAAGTTGATCAACTGCCATCATAGAAAAATCAATAACGATAATAATATTAACAGTAGTGCCCATGGTCATAACAGAACAGCTACACAAACATTTTAGGCTGTGTTTGAATCCAGATAAATTTGTCATGATTAGGCAATACCTCGGACAAATAATCCCCAGATTATACATCCCAGATAAAAGGCACTGACAACTAGTCTTTTGTTTGGTTGGCATGGGAAAAGATATGGAGTTTGCAAGTCTTATCCCACCACCCACTAAATTAAAGGATACACATCCCCCCTCTCCCCACAAAGTTTTCTTTGGGCGGGATTCCATATCCCTCATTTTGTACGATTACTGTGTAGTAAAGATAACATATCCAGGCCACACTTACGCTATGTTGGATCTTGGATTTGTGAAGGGGAAAAAAAGAACAGGAAAATGAAATTTCTGATTCATTTTTTATGGGCAATTAAACAATATATATATAGTATTTTGTTGACAAATGTCTTTCATTTTCTTCTTATTTTCCTAACCCGGCCAAAAATAATAATAATAATAATTCCTTTCATTTCATTTTCTTTCCTATCTTTCGCCTTTCATTTTCTTTTCCCTCTGCAAATCCAAGATCCAAACACAGCCTTAGGACAACTAAACACAACATTTGGATATACAATCCCACCTATTCAATCCAAGAAAAAAGGTCTTAGTTCACACCAATATTGATAAAGAAAAAAGAAATCACACAGCAGACAGGAGTATTACCAGAAGGGGATTGTGAGCCTTGAGAAATTTATTATCAACCATCACTTCTTTGCCATCAGACCTACCCAAAGGCAACCATCAAATGTTATTCTATTTAACCAAAATTAACTTTAAAGTATAATAACCCTTACAAAGGCTACATATACATTATTACTGTTCATCAAGTCATGAACTAAAGTGTTCCCCAAATATATTGAAAGCAACACTATATATGAATGTCACCAAAAAGTGGATCAATATTGAAGTGGAAAAGCCCTATTCAACAAGCTAACATGCAGTCAGCACACCATATTCGATTCCCCCAGAAACCAGGCCCTACCAACGGGCCCCTCAAATAAGATCCTGTACCGAGAAGCGGCCCACCCCCCAGCAAACTAAAATCGGGTATTTCCACCCAAGGGCGCCTAGGGCTGCCATGTGATCTGCGGATAACCAATGCATGAGCCGATTAGAAATCATAAATGTGCAAGATGAATCAAAGATGAAAACATGGAGAACTGAGAGTTCTGAATTACCTCGGTCGTCCGCACCGTGTCAAAATACTGCCGCAGGTAGGGCAAAGTTTCCCGGGCCCTCGTCCGGTACTGGCCCTCGAATACAAGTGAGTAAGAGATCGTGAGAGGCACCGCCACCTCGAGCTCCGGGGCCAGCGTTAGAAAGTACGTGAAAACCCATAGCTGTGGAAAATAGGGCAATAGCTATCAGAATACAGAATGCTTAGTGCAGAATGTGAATGCAGAATGTGCAGAGAAAACAAAATGCTGAGAGCGAAAGCAAAGTATAGAATGTAAAGTGTGCCGTGTGTGCAGTGTACAAATAACGAAAAGCAGAAATGTAAATCAAGATGGCAGAAAGTACCTCCCAAGCTCTCCAATAACCGCCGACTGTGTTCCCCCGTCCGCGGGAGGTCGCACTCATGTAGCAATAGAGGGTAGCCAAGCCGGCGCCACCCCAGTCATACCGACTGACCTGCAATAGGTCTACCAGAGCACTCAGCAAATAGAGTCCGATGGTGTTCCCCCTATCGGAGAACAGAGTGGTCTCGAGGAGGAACACCAAGAACCCTCGAGTGTACTGCGCTATCTCCTTGGGAGTCTCGGGCTCAGTCCCCCTGAAATGTGTGGAAAACCAAGTGTACCGGACCTTGCCCGACGATCTGTCAACCGATGGGCGAGCTCCCAACAGATAAATCTAGGCAGCCTTCCACTCGCCCATGTCCTTGTCATAAGGGATCGACCAGCCTCTCACGTTAAGGCCTATCAGCACAGCGAAGTCGAACGGGGTCATAGTCATGTCCCCGGTAGCTGAGAAATGAAAGGAGTTGGTGGTGTCCCACCATCTCTCTACAAGGGCGCCCATCAACGTCCTGCTAGCAGGATAGTGAGATATCCCCGTACAGAAGGGTCCGAACCCTGCCTGGTCAACCCAATCATGAACGGCCTTTGGGAACTCCGTGTACCACTCCCTCGCAACGATGGAGCCGTATCCTCGTGTAATACGGGAAGATACTTGCATTCAGAATGAACACATGTATTCAGTTCAACATGAAAATATGAGCTGTGTGCAAATTAAATCAGATACAATGCCGTGAGCTGCGTGTTCAACATAAAGTATGTGGGCTGTGTGTTCAGAATTGAAGTGTGTGAGCTGTGTGTTCAACATGAAATAATGAGCTATGTGTTCGACGTCAAGTGTTTGGACTGCGTGTTCAGACTTCAGAAATAGTGGGCTGTGTGTTCATCTCAAAGTTCGAGCTATGTGTTCGACGTCAAGTGTTTGGGCTGTGTGTTCAGACGTCGGAAATAGTGGGCTGTGTGTTCATCTCAAAGTTCGAGCTATGTGTTCAACATCAAGTGTTTGGGCTGCGTGTTCAGGCTTCAGAAATAGTGGACTGTGTGTTCATCTCAAAGTTCGAGCTGTGTGTTCAACATCAAGTGTTTGGGCTGCGTGTTCAGACTTCGGAAACAGTGGGCTGTGTGTTCACCTCAACAGTTTGGGCTGTGTGTTCAACTCTCAATGAGTGTGTGCTGCGTGTTCACAATCAACCATGGGCTGTGTGTTCAGAAATTCAAAGTTTGGGCTATGTGTTCAACTCTCAACAAGTGTGTGCTATGTGTTCACAATCAACAATGGGCTGCGTGTTCAGAAATTCAACAGTTTGGGCTGCGTGTTCAACTCTCAACAAGTGTGTGCTGTGTGTTCACAATCAATATGTGGGCTGCATGTTTAGAAATTCAAGTGATTGAGCTGTGTGTTCAAGGTGCAAACGGAATACTGTGTTACAGACTAAGTGTTCAGAACAAGCTGTGTGCCAGAATGAGCAGATAAACATAGCGAAAGCACGAAATGCACAGAAAATGCATAATACATTGCGGAAAACGTAAAAGTGAAGTACATACCTCCCATGCCTGATGAGAGAGGTGGGACTCCGGCTCCCGCAATAGCAGATCCACAGGTGCTCAATCATCAAAATCGGTAAAATGGTAGAAGACGGCCGAGGAAGGATATGCTCCTGAGGGTGATACCTCTCGGGATCGAATGGCCAAACCCTCAGAGGCAAAGACATGATATCTGGCTCACCCCCTGCACCTGGAGGACCTCCGCCATGAGGGAAATGACCCGCCATCTCAAGAAATCTGCAAAAAGGAGCAAAAATAAGCAAAATGAGCCAAAATTGGAAAAAGTCAACAAAAGTCAACCTTGGGAAATGAAAAAGCCAACAAAAGTCAACTCCCGAGAAAATGTTCCAAATATTGAGACAAACTTACCCCTAGTGTTGAAAATGGAGAAAGAAGCACCGAAATCAAAATTTAATTGGTTCAAAGTGCAGAGAACTGAAAGTTTTCGCGAAACAACTTTGCGTGGGGCGTTGGAAAACGCGTATAGAGCGCAGATCTGAGAGGAAAAATGGTCTAGGAAGGAGGATGAGCTAATTTCGGACCTGAAGTTGTGAGGAAAAGTGTTTTGGCCGTGCATATTTAAAGATCCAAGGATGAATGTACCAAACTGCCCCTGTTTTTGTCTAGGTGGTCGGCCGACCACCTTTTCTGGTAGGCCGAGCACCCCCTACACCAAACCTGGTTGGTGGCCTCCAAACCTAGTCGGTGGTGTTCCCAAGGGGGTCCCCAATGTCTCTTTGAGCTCCCTGCAAATTTTGGTAGTGATCGAAGTCCCCGGCACCCGAGAAAGTACAAGAAAAGTGCACTTTTTGTTGCGAAATCCCTCTGGGGGAACTTCAATTCCAACTTTCGATGCGTATTTCATTGTTACTCGTCAAAAGCAAGGTGTATCCTTTTTGAGTATGTTGTGACCCTTCCGGGAGGTAAACCGGAGGTCGTGATTGAGTCGCCCTCTTCGAAACTTGCATTTCTTTGCCCGTTGTTTTGTGTCAAATGTGCATTCGAAGTTGTACTTATCCTGCATTGTTATGCACGCCACTTGTATTGTTATGCACATCACTTACATTATTGTGCACGTTTCAGCAGTATTGTCATACCTCCATGCTTAACTTGCGTTGTCGCGCACATTTCTCCTCGCATTGCGATGCACTCTCCCATCGACACCATGTTTGTCTGCGTTCGATATAGCGTTGAACATATGTTGCTAACTATGTTGTGCTAATGTAGTTTTGGTTTGCATTCTTGCTTAAAACTGTTGCATTCATTGTGAATATTTGCTTCATTACAGCTCGCTACTTTGCATGGTCATGAGTTACGTTCGGCTTTGTGCATATCATTTTGCATTTCGCCCCTTGCCTGCGGGCACATCTTTGTTTATCTCGCCTGTTTGTCTAAGTCTTCGGTCTTGTCAAAAATGGGTCGTCTCTGGGCTTTGACATTCACTCCCGTCACTTATGACTTCCGAGTTCTGTCAAAGAGGGGCAACTGTAGCCACCCCATTTTTGACCGACCTTAAGACTCAGACGTCACCGATTGAGCGCTCGGTGATGACGCATATTGTGCTCGTTCTGAGGTTGCAGAGTCTCGGCTGAGAGTCTTGGCTTCGGACTTCGGGGCTCTTATGTGCTTTGCCTCGGTTTGCGAACCAGGTCCTGTTTTCTCAGTTTTCTCTTCCCGAAGAGAGGGAGAGGTCTCGTAGACCATCTCTCAGTGGCCGTAGGCTACGTTTCGTGGTCGTAGGCCATTTTTCCCGTTTGGAGACCAGTTTTCGATTTTTCAGACCGTCGGCCGCGTGCCTCGATTCGGGACTGCTTAACTACCTCTGTTTGCTCCAGTTTTTGGCACACACCTTGTTTCCTCTCCCTAGAGGGACACTGTGGCCTGGGAGACCACCTTCGTGGTCGCACGCCACCTCCGGTGCTTAGTAGTCAGTTTTCGGGGCCCCGGGCCGCGTGTTTTGGCCCCCGAACCCTCGTTTTGCACCGGTCAGGGTTCATTTTTGGCATGGACCCTAGTTTCATTGTTAGGAAGGTGGTACAAGGGTGGGAGACCACCTTTTCTTCTTGGAAACCAGCTTTCTCCTCGGAGACCACTTTTCTCCTTTTCTCCTTGGAGACCACTTTTCTCTCTCCTCCAGCCAGTTTTCTTGGCAGGTAGGTGGTCTCCCTCACTTTTGGGCCATAATTTCTGGTCTCCCATACCGCCATCGTGTTGTACTCATCTGGGAGGCCACCAATATGGGTAGGCCAACCAGATTTTCTTCCTGACCCTTTTGAACCTTGCTAGAAAGCTGGTTTTCCTCTCTCTTGGGTCACAATTTCTGGTTTCCCACCCTACCACTGTGTTGCATTCACCTGGGAGGCCACTAATCTGGTATGGCCAACCACCTTTTCAACTTGACCCTTTTGACCCCTGGTCGGCCGACCAGGGGGAGTGGTCGGTCGATCACTTGAACTGGTCGGCCAGCCATCTGCTTTTTGCCCTTTTTGAGTGCATTACAGCTGTGCCAGTTGGGAGGCATTTGCCTCATCCTCCGGGATTTGACCCTTTAGTTTGTCTTCTTAAGGAAGATTTGGCCCATTTTGCTTAGCTTCTAAGGGAAGTTTCACCTTTTGTCAAGCTTCTTGAGGAAGCTTGACCCCTTTGGTCTAACTTCCTCTAGAAGCTTGACCCTTTTGGTTTAGCTTCTTTTAGAAGCTTTGGCCCTTTGTTGAAGCTTCTTAGAGAAGCCTTGGCCCTTTGTCTTCTATAAGAGAGGGTCTCCTCTCCTCTTGCAAGGGTTAGAAATTCTTGGCTGAGGCTTATACACTTCTCCCTCCATAGCTCTCTTCTTCAAGCTCCAAACCCCATTGTTCTTGCACCCATTAC